CCCTCGGCTGGCCTGAGGACAACGCATGTCTACCAGAGGAGGCAGGTTGCTGCAGTATGGCATCGCAAAAGGGTGCTGAAGGAACACAAACTGTTTGAGGCTTGTATTCCCTTTTCTGCTTGAATTTATGTAAAACCCCTAATGAATAGAAGTTAATTAGCTTCACTTAAGACTGATACACAACTACAGCCATAGGGAATAAACAGGTTCAGCAGCTGCTGCATTACTCCAACTATACTGTAAATTGCTGCATGCTATTAACATGCTCTCCTGGCTTCAATAAAGAAAATCTTATTGAAATCCGTAGCACACATTTCCTATTTCAGTGAGACATTGCAAAATTAAAATGATATGTAGTAAAAACAATATGTGTGAGCCACCTGCTTACTGTATGATAGAATAGATTGGCATAGAATGACAGCTGCTGCACAGCCAACATTTCAGATACTGTACTACCTTGCCAACTGGACTTAAATTCACACATGATTTCCTTGACTAGCACTGAATGAATTTTTGCTGCTATAAATATGCATTGGCAATTGTGATGAATCATCCTGGATACTAAGGGTCACCATTAATTCAGCTACATCAAGAACTGTATCCAGTGCAAAAAGCCACCAGAGCAGATACTGGTGAGTCAGGACTGTTTCGGTGACTTACATGTAAAGAACATGCCTTGACCCGTGAAAAAGGGTTGCCAATAATGAAGATAGCCCATACAGAGCTTGCTGGATACTCATAGTACAAAATGCTAAATGTTAAAACCAAAGAGCTAATTAATTATTGCATGCCTCCTCACGCTAGCCTGGAGTCCATGACAGTTACCATGATGACGACCTTATGATCTTATTTAGGCACCTAGAGCCAGATACACATAGCCTAAATTTCACTAAGTTCTTAACACCTACCCTAGGCCTATTCTACATCTGCATTTTGGTTTTAGCAGGGTCAAAGCACATGTCACAGCCCTACCCTTCAGCTGGGCTTTCTGGGTCCCTCTTCAGGCTCATCTGGTTTTCAGCACTATCAAATAGATATTGCCTCTAATTCCCATTGATTTCAATTAGAGGCATGTGTCTAATTACATTTGCAGATCTGCTTTTGCTGGTTTTATATTGAAGGGATGCCTAGAAACAGGAAAGGTTTCTTTTAATCTAACTTTCTATGCTAGCAACTTATGTCTACAGTCACTGTTGACAGGAGCTCTAACAAGGAACCACTGCTTTAGATTTCCCTGGTAATAAAATGTTCTTTGCATGTGCAATAAAAAATAGTCTTGATCTGCAATGAGAAATAATTCTATAAGGATGAATGCGATTTACAGTTCTTCCACAAGCGACAATACCACAGTGTTCATAAAAGGGCAGGTTTGGGGTAAAATCAGTAATCTATTTTAACCAATTCAAATGCCAATATCCCATCTGCTAAGTCTCTTTATTTTATATCAGTCTGCCATTTTCTCTTAGTGGTAGCATCAATAAACATTGTTGGTAATCATCTGCTTGTGCTCTAATGTGGCATATTCAGTTTCACTGAACAAAGCCAGGCTGAAGATCCCCGAAGGAAAAAAAAAAAATAGTAGTGACTTGCTTAGCTGTGATTCAGACCCATGTCTCTCATTTAAGACTGACTCAAAGTTGCATCATCACCAAACCTGAACACAAATAGTTTTTATCATATACAAATCTAAATGCTAATAGCAGCTACCTTTTATTATTCCAAAGGAATTTTCTACTCCATTTTTTTCCCTTGTTTTGCCAAGTGCAGTGGAATATTTCAAAAAAGAAACATCAATTTGAGGAGTTCACCAAAACCAGTATTTGTATCTGATGACATGTAACAGGATTCCAGCTGGAGAATACCACTTAGATTTAAGAAAGGGTTTGTTTTGCTATATCTCCTTTCAGATAGTTTTGGAATCCACAGATATGAAAGGCTGGATAACACAGCCTAGATTCAGTCTTCCTTTAGCTGGTATTTGCTAAATTCTCAAATACAACTAGCACCTTCACAGTCTGCAGCCAGAAGCAACCTAAAACACTATTACAAAGGCAGGTTTTGCTTCTCTGGCATTGTAAAACTACAGTTATAATAATTTAATTATGCACCAGTTACAATAATTTGTCACAGCCATTCATAGATAAACAGGCGTGATAATCAGTGGTGGAAGGAATTATAATAGACCACTTACTCTGAAAAACCTGGAGATGATAAGCCGTGGCTTGCACAGCAACTTCAAACCCTCACAGTTTTTGAGTTCCCATCAGGCTATTTGAGCTTCTAACAGAGGCAAGAAACTTGCATCCTTTTGCCTTAAGAGGCTTATCAGTAAGACAGGCAGGATCTGAAACTGTCCACTTGTGAGATCAACCCAATGCACAGATTGCCAAAAAGGTGGAAACTGGAACCCCAGGCTCGCAAGGAACCTCCTGGAAATTTGCTGTTTCTTGATTTTTCTTGCTTCTTCAAGCAAATTATCTCCATTAGAAATGACATTTTCAAAAAATCTTCGTTCTCTGATGTGAAAATGTTCCATTACTGATTATTATCATGAGGCAGCTTGCCTCATGGATCACCAGTCCCTGAACAGCCCCATGCTACTGGAGGGTCTCCACATGCAGAGGTGGGAACACAGAGCTCAGTACCACTGAGGAACAGGAGCTGCAGGGCAGCTGGAGCAGGCTGTAACCTGCCTGCTTGCAGGGCACAACTTAACGGTAGTTCTGCATCAGGACATACCCAGTAAAATATAAGATTCCCATGCCTGTCAGCTAATACTGTACCCTGCCCTGGCATCATCATGGAAACAGCTATGCTTTCTGAAGGCATCATCTTTGACATGAGATGTAAAACCACACGTTTGTTGTTTCTATATTTGACATACAGATCTTGCGTCTGGGGAGGAAACAGTAGGTTCTGCTAACTGAGATCAGAAAAGTCTTTTGGGAGGTGGCATGTGTAAAACCACGTCCTCAGAAAGTAAGTTTAGCTTTTAGTGAAAACTCTGATGTTAACAGCACTGCTCCCCCAAGTGATAAGAACCCACTTTTCAAAGGAAAAACTGAAAAAGTACAAATATACTAAGTTTACAAATCGTTCTTTTACATCTGAATCATTTGTATAGACGCTGATGACAAAACATACATGACCTGAGCACAGAACTGCTGTTGAGGTATCAAAATCACCTTAATGATTTATTACATTTATTTTTTGAATAGTAGTATTTTCTTGAACACATAAAAAGAAAAAAAATTGGGAAAAAGCAAATTTATTTAAAATTTCTAAGCCAAAATTTTCAAATATTGCTGATATTATATAATTAATTTTGTAGGAGCAACTTGATGGCATGCAACATAACAGATTATTTGGATCACAGGCACTGGCAGGCTTGCTGTGGTCCCAACTGGCCTGCTGCCTGCAGCCTGGGCTATACATTTTTTGTACAAGAAATAATTACTGCTTTAAAATATTACAGGGGTCTGAGATTTACTCTTTGGCAGAGTCAGCTTACATCAGTGTCCATACACAATGAACCATCCCTACCAAACACAGCAGGAGCTGGAGCAGGGTTCGGTGGCCAGCCCCACGAGAGGGCCCACTAGCACCTGAGGAGGCTCCAGGAGTCATGGAGGGGAAGAGCAGTTCATGTCAGAAAAACAGCAGTAGCACATTTTCCCTATCCCCTCCCCAGTGAAACGAATGTATCATTAGAAGCCAAAAAAGAAATCTATATTAAGATACTGCTAATGTTATAACGAAGTGACACAAACAAGCTTTACACCGCTAACAACTCACCTTCTTCCTACTCTAGGTATTTATAGCAATCTCTGAGATTTTACTGATATGCCGGAGTCCATTAATCCTGTTGGTCCCTCCCCTCCGCCCTCAAAAAAAAAAAAAAAAAAAAGGTAAACAAAGAACAAAGTGAAATCTTCAAAATAGAATTTCCTCCCCACAGTTTATTTAAGTTAGATATTTAGGACTGAGCTTATCAAGCCAACTGGTAGGCATCCTGCGCATGGCATAGCACCTAGCACCAGCTCTCTGCGTGCGCTGAATCATGGCGACTGATTTTACAGGAGCCAGTGGTATGTTCACATACCACAAAGCAAGAGCAAACCTTTTATTATGACAGTCTCTTAAATAGAAAGTTGTTAATAAACAAAGCTAAAACCCAATTGACCAATTTTTTAATGATCTTACAATAAAACTTGCTGTTACTGTAGTTGAGCTAGCATAGCACAAGTAAATATCTCTAAAAGAAAAAGCAAAGTCTTCTATGACAGAAACCAATTTGATATGGAAATGGGTCAACAGTTGCTTAAGATGTAGCACAGTTTTGATTTGATCTGCTATATTTGGACTCTGTATGAGGCGCTTCCAGTAACATCGGTATTGCTTATACATGAGACTTTTGCATAATCACTGTATGAAGCATTAGAATTCTTTAAACCGAGAATGATTTTTCAAAAAGACTATACATATCTATGTTAATAATGTGGATACAACAGTATTTGCTGAAGAAAAAGAACAACTGTTTTCTAAAACAATTAGGATTCGTGATATATTGCTTGGCAGACTATTGCTCAAAAGCCCACACAGTCTTTATCCAGAAGCCCAAATGCATCCATGGGCAACAAGTTATGCTTAACACTGAGCTCAGAATACACATGGGTCAAACAAGGAATAATAAAAAAATTATTGGACATACATGTATTTTACAAATTAAATCCTGTATTTGAAGCAAACTGGTTTTTATATTGTTGTTTTTCAGACATGATCACAGTTAAGTTGTTCTTGTCTGAAGAAAACAATCAGATTCCATTTTAAGATTTTTCTTTTAAGGATATTGTATAACCTTGTACTTACACATACCTCAGCTGTTAGCTTTCCAGCCCACCTTATTATTCCTATGCAGTCCCTAGTAATCCTTGTACCACCACAGGAATTAAGTTAATTTCACACCAGAAAATTATAAAAGATCATTTCACCATTCTTACCACATTAGGGAACCTTTCCCAGCCAGCAGTGATTTCTCCTTCTTTTTACTTGCTTGACCTCCACTCACATATACTACAGATACAGTCACATTAGTTCTTCTTCAGTCTTGCATTCTGCTGTCTGACCTTGGGAAGAAGAAGACATATATGTAATAACAATGCATATAAGCATTCACAACCTAAAAGCCAAGTGCAGGCATTGAAAAATCAGCTATTGACTACTTCAGAGTGATCATACAAAGGAATGTGACTTTGGTCACAGATGAGAGTTGTGGTAGCCATCACAACATACAGCCATGATTAGCTGCTGGACAAAAGCAACTTTAAAAACCACAAATTGTAGTGACCATTTTCAGTTGCTCTCTGTATGCTGCTGAACATTGAAAGAGGACACAATCAGATTATGTTAGCATAAGTCCTAACATTAGCACGTTATCTCTGCAGAGACATAAATGACTTACTGTAGCCATAGTAAGAGAGAGGTTTGCTGAAATACAGCTCTTCACACAGAATACAAAATGAGACAAAATATACCAGACTATTTCTGATTAAAAGTAAAGACTCTAAAGACAGTCTGTTTGTGATTCATAATAATGACTATAAAACCAACATGACTTATACTTACAGAGGTTACTAACCTTTACAGCGACCACATCAATACCCATTGGATTCCCCTTTCCATTCTGTGTCTGATATACCAACAAACGTGATATTCTGAAAACAAGTCTCCACAGTACATACCTCTACAAGGGTACAGCCCGTTCAGTTGAAGCATATTTTAGCCTAATAATTCCTATAGCATATTGCAATTATTAGACTAACTGCTATTAGTGAAACCAAACTACTCAGTCCTGTGTCTGGCTCTGTAACAGATGTCACACATAATGTTTAACAAGTAGTTCATGTCTCTTGACACCATTTTACCACTTGTAAAATAAGAATGCTTTGAGATCGTTGAATGGTAGACATTACAGAAGTAGAAAGCATTGACTATTATTTGTTGTATTAGTATTATTATTATTTAATGTAACATACGGATGCAAAATTCTGGCTTGTTTGACCAGGAAGACAGCCCTATATGTTTAAAATTAAATTAGCATAGAAAAAAATTAAGCAAACAGACTATCTCAAATAGGAAATGAAATAAACAGTATGGAGCTCTTTAAATACATAACAAGTAATCAGCGAAAGGGCTGTGAACGGAACCTGAGTGGGAAGCTTGTGACCAGCAAGGCTGATACTGCTGGAAGCCTCAATGAAAGTTAAAAGGCTCCATGACTAGGCCAGACTATACAGGCAATTAGAAGTGCTGAATGCTGCCAAGGCATCAGGCCAACAAGAATTACAACTCAACAAACTGAATGAAGGAGAGTGGGGGGAGGAAAAAAAAAAAAAAAAAGAAAGAAAAAAGAAAAAAAAGAAAAAAAAAGGCTTTAATTAAATATTTGAGATCTCACAAGGGATGGGGAAAGTGCCAGGTAACTGGAAGATGGTTAACTAAATAGAGGGAGTCTGTTCGCTCATTAATGCGTGGGGGAATTTACAAGTGTAACTTCTACTACCATTAATTGGAGCTACAGTAAATGAGTGATGCCAGTGTTTACTGGCTGGCAAAGGCTCCTGTTACCTAGACTGGTCTTCCCTGGTAAGTCTTTACTGAAGGGTTATGGGTTAATTTTGGGATCTGAATGAAAAAGGTCACCAAGATGAAACTTCTTAAAATATAAGCCTGTAGTACTTCAAATGCAGATGATCCCAAAATAAAGCAATATATTCATAAGAACTTTTCTTAGCAGCACTTTTTCAGAATTGTACAGATTTACTTCTCTTTGCCCTGCACCTCAGAAATCCCAAAATAACCCTGTGGGACACGCACCAAATTCAAAGTGGATGAAGAAACTTCATTTCTGCAGTTCCTTGTCAGAAGGGTCACCAGTTGAGATGATTTGATTGTGCCTGTGGTGAAATAAGACAGGGAAAGGAAGCCAGCAGGTCACCCACCCGCAAAGAAGCAGTAGGGAAGAGGAGAAGTACTTGTGAAAGGACCTAACATTGGCGAGGGTAGGGGAAGAACTGCAAGTGTACTATGTCACTGGACCCAATTAGAAATCTTATAGATGTAATTATTTTGGATAAGCATGTATACATTTTTATGCAGCCCCAAATTCCATGGTTTTCACAACATCTATCACGTATCAAATTTTAAATGCGTGATAGTTGTAATACACAATTTTACCATTCATTGTTCCTCCATTAAATCGAAAGTTCCATTCAAAACAAGATTTTAGGCTTCATTGTTCCTGTAAATACTACAATGAAGTCAGAAATTATTTATTAACTAAAAAAAAAAAAACGGTTTTTAGCTGCAATCAGGAATTTGGAATATATAAAAAATAGTTTATTTTTAAAGCCCATGAATACAAACCAGAAATAATAGCTTTAGTACCTGTTTCAGGTACATGAAATGGAGAAATAATGTCCAGGAAGCTTATGTCAGGGGCCCGTGTTTTCTCAGTATTTCTAACTGAAAAGGAGAAACCATTGGATTTTCAGCACATGGCATTAAAAAAGGTGTAGAATTCAGCATCTGTTCTCCACGTGACTCTAGATCATGGGATGGTTTAGAATAAGGAATCTATTAAAAAAAAAAAAAAAGCAAACAAACAAACAAAAAAGCTCATGAAGGCAGCAGCTAGGAAGGGTACAGACCTTCACAGTCTTGAGGCCACATAAAATCTTTACAACTCAAACTGCCCTCAGATATTCAAGAACTTGGTCTCTCAAGTGAAATGTGTCTACACAAGCACATTTTGGAAGATTTTGTATTCTCAACTTTTACTAATGCTTTACCAGAAGAGTGGTCAGGTAGCCTCCTCAATAAGCCCAAAGTTTCTGAAACTTACAGACCAATTTGAACTTGCATTGTTCCTGTAATGAAATAAAAGTCCAATATACCTTAAGGAATAAAGGAGAGTATTAGCACGCTGAATTAAAATTATGACTACCGCTAATAGTAAATGAGATAGCCATTAAAGACACAAATCATTTCATATTATCATCACAGGATTACCTTATAAAAAGGAGCAGCCAAGAACAATTTGCTTTCTCCTCTTGCTTACCCTCATAAAAATATGAACATCTGTAAAGGACAAAACAGATCCACATCTACAATTGCTGTGAAAGAGAGCTTATTTCAAATGTGCATCCTGTATGGCCAGAACAGAATCAAATATTAAACAACAATAAATTCAGCCATTATTTTTATACAAAACTTCAATGCTGTTACAAAAGCCAAAGTCAGTGTTAGTAGCCAAATCTGTTAAATTTCTCTAGATTAATATGGGGAAAATGGAGAATTTCACATTAAGGTGGTGGGCTATATTGTAGCTTAATTTATAATTTCCAGGCGTATAAGGCAAGCATAGACAGACCATATGTCTTTTCTTGGCCTTTAAATGCTCCTATTTTCCACTAGACTTGCCTTTTTCTCCATCTATTGGCAGCCATACCATTTGCTATTCAGGTGATTGGCTGTAATGAGCCAACTCCTGTTTCCATATGAATAACCACTTTTTTCCCCAATTACTTAAGCTGCCAGCAAGTCACTGGTGTCATGTTCTTTGATGCAAATCTGACTGTCAATAGAGAACAGGACTACATAAAGAGAGAATTTATGATGATACCCTTAGCTTAATATTCTTCATAAATGCTACTCAGTTTAGCTTCCACGGAACATGGGGAAGGCAGCAACGGTCCACAGCAAGAAGTAATAATATCTTTAATTGGCTTTGTGCTCCACATGCCCTTGTAATCAGCCTTCCCATATGGTAGTTTGAAATAAATTTATCAATCTCCATTTATGTATTTATGTCACTTTAAAAGGGCCATTTTAGTCAATATCAAAATCTATAAAAATTTCACATTTAATTTTAAAATTGTATTTTAGAAGTTAAAGCACTAAATACATAGTTTGATATTTACAATTACTGGAAGTAAGCAGACACACAGAAAAACACGGGTAGCAGGGAAGCTTCTGAGGCCAACAAGCACCAGTTATTAACAATATGAGAACTAAGTATATAATTTTAACTCACTTTTTTGAAAGGTCACTTTTTATTAATCTTTTTCAAATGGGCTTGGATATTTTTCACTTAAAGGGAAACAGCTTACATTTTTGCAAGCCAAGGGACCTTCTATTTGGAATCCACCAGGGTAAGTGTGGGTGAGGGTAAGGGGCAGATTCCTTCCTGGAGTTGGCAGGCATGATTGCAAACACCACATCTAACAGTAAATAGCTACAGAGGAAATTTCTTTTCCATTGAAAAATTGCTGTATTAAAATCCCAATGCAAAACAATGAAAGCAACATTACCCAGCATTCAAGGCCTAGTCTATTTACTACCTACCTTCAAAACTGTATCATTTCCAGAAGCCTCTCTAGAACTCTATGAAGTAGATTTTCTATGTGCTGCCCCCTTTTTCCAGGTGATTCTAATTAAACACCATTTAAAAACCCTGAGTAATTTGTTGACCACCTGCTTCTGCAATATAGATACCAGCAGACAACCTAAAGAGAAAGACATAAGTACCTATCAGAAACTGCTGTTGGCACTACAAAACTCAGGTTCAGTTCTGCATGTTCCCAAGTGCTCTCAATTGGAACTTCACCCATGAGCTAACTGGCTACTGCAGGAAGATCTTTTATAACAGCAAGTGTCCTAAACAGCTAGTGCTCTTTTGCTGAAAGGGTTTCTGGGCTGGGATTTTGTTATCATTGAAACCACAATAATAGATTATTGTTTACAAAAGATTGACAGCACTCTTTGCAAACCTGAGACAAAACAAGAAGTCAGCAAAGGGAAGAGAAAAGAAAAATTATTTATTTAAGTCTGATAAGAATTACATCATCTTTGATTTACAAACAGGAAAGGTCCTGTCTAATCTCTGTAAGGGAAGAAGAAGAGAAAATGGCTGCTGAACCTGAAATTCATTAGTGAAATGCATGTAGTATCTAAATGAAACACAACAGTAATGCTAAATGCAGTGTGCCTAATTAACCTGCAAAAATGCAAATACCTTTTTAAGTTTGATGTTGCTGTTTAATGACAACCTGGTTTTATTATTATTAATAATAATAAAATCTGGTTTAGATGCACACATAAAATCAAAGCAGCTCCCATGTTTCTCTGATTAGTCTGGATGAGGAATGGATTTGACTGTGTACTAAGCACGGTTTTCTCCCCCCATGCTGAAATAGCACATAAAACAAATTAATATTGTAATTCATCAACTTTGATACAGGAGTAACTACAATTGTATACATTTTGTTTCATCAATGCATTTTAAAAGGTGTTTTAAGATCATTGGCCATTATAAAGTATATACTCAACAAAACGCTGCCACAAACGCTAAAGGAGCATTGCTGATCTGGTACCAGGTCAAAGGCATTTAGACCCTGCAAGGAACGAAAAAATGCCCGATTGGTTTTCCAGAAGTTAAGGTACCTGCCTGCTCTCTAGTTGCCTAAATGCTTTCAGATCTCTTAATAAATACTAATGGACTAATACAAGGCACAGACTAGCTGGAGCCTACATTTGAAATCTGCTCTCAAACCTCATTTGCAGATTGGCCAGATGGTAATTAGTGTGGAGGTGTTCTCCAGGCAGACTTGCTTTCAGGGCAGAGTTTTTTACATTTTATTGGGGTTGGGGGAGGAGAAAAGGAAGTCTTCCCCCCACATACCCCCCCCCCAGTTAAGATTAGTAACAGCCAGGAAAGGGTGAATAAAAGCTGGGCTACAACAGAATATTCTATAGTTTGTTATATTTAAGAAAGTGGTTGCAATTTAATCCAGTGAGACCAATAAACAGAAGACTAAAATAAAAAGGCAGAAGGCTACAGTGTCAAAGTGCTGTTAAAAGTACATGAGAAAAGCAATCCACTTGGGGTTCATTGTAACACTTCTAATAATGAGCTTCCCATATTTAGACACAAGAGACAGCAAATTCAAACCCCCTGGAAAGGATACAATACAGTTATACAACAACATAGCAAACTGTATTTGTTTTGTTATTACTACCTATGCACCCTATGGTTTCTTTAGGGAAGATGAGATGATATCTTTATACTGTGGTGTGTAAAATAGTCTGAAATCTCTCTTTGACACCACTAACGTACCAAAATCCTTCCCAAATTGTGAAAGACCTCCAAGTTGGTGCTAAGCTTGATCTTCAGCATCACTAAAAAAATAATATGTTTTGTTACTGCATTTCTCTCTGAGAGGTTTTCAAAATCCTTCCAGTCAGTACATGAGATAGGATACATATTGTCGGGGATAAGTTGTTAAAGTGAATTTGAAATGTGCTTCTCAAAATATCGTTTACACATTTACCAGATGGTAAAATAAACATGTAAATTGTTATCGAGTATACACCAACTTTATACTACAATTTTACCCACTGTAGAAATGGTGTAAAAATGTTGAATATAGTGTTACTTGTTCATTTAATAGTTTATTAACATTTTAAATACATTTGGAGAATAGGTTAACTTTCAAAGAAAAAAAGATTACTTACAAAATCATCATTTTAAGCCATTCATCAGGCAAAATTAACCTACTTGCTTCCACATTTATCATTTATCTCATCAATAGTATGATTAGCATAATAGTTGGTTCCTAAGCATTTGCCTATGCGTAGTCATTACACATGTTTAGTGGAATGGGTTTTAAAAGATAAATTTAAGTTAGACAAATAGCTAAAAAAAGTAATTTTAAAGAAGCATGTATCTTAGTTAAAGTAGCTGGTATTAGACCAACAGGTCACTTTGCCTCTAGAATTTGCTCTTTCATGAGCCACCATACACATTCAGAAATCTGAGGGCATGAACGCTTGATATGTGATGGAATAGAAGGGTTGTGCTAATGAACCCGCACATCCAAAGAAGAGCCTAATGCATGCACTATGCAATATGCAGCAATTAAAAGTCCGCCAGGTCAAAGAGTAATCCTTGTCCTTCTCTAAAATAAAAGGTCCTATGCATGTAATCGCTTGCTAATGACCCTAGTTGGAAGACAATAGGTGAGGGATATTGATGGAAGACTGTTACTTGTACTACCTCTCTCTCTCCTTTTGCAGACCTGTTTCTACCAACCCAACACACCAGTTATATTGTGTGATAGGACTTTCTTTCCCACCTCTCTGACTATGCTAGCTCCTTTTCTAAAAAAAAAAGCACTTTGTTATTTTGCCTAGATTTAGGAATTTTCATCATCTATGAGGACATATATCCACTTGGCATATTTCATCTCATGCACCCAACAGAATCTGAGCTAATTACTCCTTAAAAGTGAGCATATCAAGTAGTCTTCAAAATACCGAAGGACTTTTTTGGTGAGTCTACAACAGGGGCTTGGATTCTCACCTGAGTTTTGTCTGAATTTTCTTTTTTCAGAGGCTTTTCATAGCATGCAAATTCAATCTCATGCCAGCCATTAAGCTCCTGTTTACTATTACATTGTGGCTTCACTATTATGTGCCCTCAGCAGTACGGTGTTTCCACATAAATACAAATAATACGTGATTCTTGAATGTAATAGCACAGAGTTGGCTTAAGAGATAAGTTAACTTTATAAGTGAATTCTGGAGGAGCCTGCACATCCAACAAATATCCTATATTAGTAGGTGCCACAACATAAAAAATTCCTAACCAAAATTATTTTTAAAGAATGCCCACCCACCCAACCCCCCCATACAGGGAGCTAGCACAAAAGTAACAGATAATAAGCTTTAACAAACCTGTCTCTTTTCTGTGACTGAAGCTATGGGAGCTTGTGATTTAAGATCCAGAAGTCCTGCTGAAAAACAAAGTGCCAAAAGCTGCTCCACATTGGGTGCTTGATCAGGGCTCCAGCAGGATCTTCTAGAAGAAGATGAAAAACAAACCAATTTCGTGTGAGCAGTTTTAAAACACCACTTGGAATCTGCTGCTTTACCAACCTACCTTGTGGATTACACTCTGCAGCTGAAGTGTTTCTTAAAAAGACACCGAAATATTTGATGATATTGAAGAGATTGCAATGGGCTTTCATATGGGATTAAATAATAATATAACTTCATTATATACCCCTGAAATCTCTGGAAAGGGCTGGTTTAGAAACCATTAGGCAGAGACATGAATTCAAACTTTATTGTTTCAATAAATTATTTATTATTTCTTTGTTATTTAAAAAAATAAGCTAAGTGGGATAGGGGGAAGACTGACTATGCAGACAGGAGGTGTTCCACAGCACACGTACAATTACCAGTTATCACTCTATATATGAACCAAGAAAAATGTGAAGAAGTTTGAACATCTGACTGACAAAATCCTTAGTGCATTCGAGTCATGTCTTGGCTTTGGCATAGAAACGTGTACTATAGATGTACTATAGACTAACACACTAAACACAAAGGAAAACTGATGAAGAAAGCATTGTCTTCAGAGCCTGAACCACAGAGCACCAAACACCTCTGCCAACTAACTTTGAAGCAGAGCCTGAGCCAACACTTCTATAAAGGCAGGGTGAGCACTGGAAACTTGTAGCATATGCTGCTATTTACATAACTAATTGTAGAATGCACAGTCAAAAAACAGCCTCTAGCTTTAGCATACATGTGCAAAATAATTGATTTTATTATGTACAGAAAATTAGAAACTGTCAGAAACAAAGCCACTAGTAACAGCCGTGAGGAAGGATTTAGAAGATGCATCTCATAGATTGCGGAGGCCAGTCTTCACACAGTTGTGTGGTGTACAGCCAAAATATAAATCTCGACAAGACTCAATGACAGCTGATACCCTAATCCAACCTCTCAGTAAAACTGACATACACACAGCATAGTCCGATGCTGGAGATGCTCAAGGAAAACATTCCCAGTCTCAGACGAGCTGTGGTTTGTCATTGCAGACACTGTAATACAAGATGAAACTTTGCAAAGGATATTGTAAATATAATAATAATAATCTAATCTTACATGAAAAAAAAGAAGAAAAATATGATGCCATAGAATAAAAGCACTAGTCAAGTTGCTCCTAAATTTCTGATGAAATACAGGAGGACACCAAGATGTGTGGAAAAGTACAGAAGATGGGCTAAAGCTGCATTATACTGTCTACTTTTCTGTGGAAAAAAACCAAACCAAACAATCTAATAAAATGCAGAAACCTCAGGATTTCTCAGGCAAAACAGTGTGTTTGTGTAACCCAGAAAAAGTGCTTATAGGTTCTAGAATGTTCTCCTGTTATTCAGAAATAACATGATTTGAGACAAGATTTAACCCTATAGATTATATCTTTATTGGCTAGACATGACATACTTATTCTTGCAATTACAGAATAGACCAGAAACTGCTACAAGCTTAAATGTTTTTTATAAAAGGATAAATTTTAAGCAGGTTATTTTAAGATATCCTCCGGCCAGTAGTCTTTTGGAAAATGATTTTTAAATTAAATAGACACATATATATATGTAAAGCTGTGAAGAATCAAACTTAGATCAGCAAAGGCTCCATAGGTTGTAATGAAACACCCATAAAACTAGTTCACCTGTTACATTCTGCTTAAGAAAAAAAACAGAAACTGACACCCTTCGTTATGCAACTACAAATGCTAAAAATATTTACATGGTTGATTCTCATGAAATGTGTCATGTCAAATGCTTTATACGAGCTAAACTCTTTACAATCACAAGAAACTGTATGCAAATGTAAATTACGAAGTTTGGGTACAAAAGAGAGCAGCCTTCCATCGATCTCTTCTTCGCTAATCCTGAGCAAGGCTTTCCTTGTTTAAGCATCCTCCACAGAAGGAGTTAAAAGGAGAGAGCACTCGTCTACATGCTCAAGCTCTAAACAGATCTAGCCGTGAGGAGCCGGTGAACAGCTCCCTGCCCCCCCCCACCAGTAAGGAAAAGGATGGAGAAGAGCAAGGCAGAGGCTGGAGCTCATGCAAAGCTTTGGAGATCTACCAGGGGAAGAGACCAGAATCTACTTTGAGACTCCTGGTGTATTCGCATCAGGTTGGAGCTCTGCTGCTTCATCGCCCAGGAATAAAGCAATACATCCATTATCCAAAACAACTCTCTGAGGTCAAGTTTTGGGTTATAGATAATCCAATCTCATACCTACCTGCCCGTGAAAGAGTTCACAAGCTTCTTGCTGTCCTGCCCTTGCACCCACCAGCCTGGCAGCCTTTCGCATGCAATAGCATCGTCACCATCTAAAGTGACTTATGCGAGCTGAACTGACGGCAAAACAACCCTTGTGAAAAGGGTTGGGTACACAGAACTACACTTAAAATCTCCTAGATCCTTACCCTGAGGTAGCTGTAGATAGCAAGATAAAGTAAAAATTAAATATAATCACTGTTTAGCACAGGCTGTATTCAGCACAGGCATCACCCCTGTCCTTCTAAAGCTGGGAAATGTGACCACAGTGACAGATTTGCATTTTAATTACCAAGGGGAAAGAAAATATCCCGAACCCCACAGCAGGTAACACTGCTGAAGCAAAACAGACATAGGCCCTGATCCTGCAAAGACTTATGTTCACGTGTACACTAAGCTTTACACTGTCACAGGACAATTAGTTGTGTTGTTTCTGCAGTTATAATGTGTCTGGAAAATAAGCATATACTGCTAATAGACTACCATGGGGTTTGGCCCTTTAGATTACATCTGTCTGAATGGTGTACAAGCAAATATATTCCTGAAGCAATCTTGTATCCACATGTTTTCGATGTAAATTTTAATGTTCATTTTTAAAAGCCCATTTTTAATTTTTGTTGTTACACCTCATGTTATTTTAGCTTATGTCTACTTATATAAATGAATCAGTTTGTGATTTAAAAAAATCTTTATATTTTTCATTTATCTCAATGATTAGAAAGAAGTTATAAGTGAACAGTACATGGAAACAAAACTGAAACAGAAATCTTTAAAAATACGATACTGGATGTTAACATCACAGGGGTTTTGTGACATTTAACATAAAGAAAAAAAAATAGAGCTAGACTAGAGAAGTCTGCAGAGAACATGAAAAAGGTTTGTTCATTACAAAATCCCATACAAGAAGGACTAAAAATGTCTGATTAATTTTTTCTATTCAAATTCTGAACATTTCTTTTATAATAAAAGAATAGAGTTGGCCTAAATATTACTCCTAAAAAAGGGCAAATTCTTGTAAAACACATACCAAGCAAACTGGTTTTGATTTAATTGTGAAGAAAACTAAAGCATCAAAATCAACCTTGACAATAAGCAAAAATGAAGCTTCAACTATTTTTATAATATAAACAGAAAGAAATGAAAATGCAAGTATAGTAGGATATCAGTTGATGTTTTTAGAATTATTTTAACACAGGAGATACAAATGTGCATATCAAATTGATACTTGGCCCTCTTCATTCCATCAAACAGCACCTGCTTTGGCTAGAGAAAGCTATCAGATGATACAAATCTGTATTGAACCACTGAAGCCAATGAAATGACATAATTGTACACCAGTAGAGGATTTAATCCACACTATTCTGCTCTGCAAAAAACACTACTGCTCAATGAATATCTGAAATAAATGCTTGATAATGTGCCCAAGAATCAAACTGTAAAAAACATGGAAATCCCTTAGAACTACCAGACTGGAGATTTCTCGGTGAGATTTTAGTCATTTCTAAACACAGGCAACTAAACCACTCATGGACTTTGAAAAATGCTACTACCCCTCATCACTTACGCACAATGTTTTCAATAGGAAATTCAGGAACAGCCAATAAAAAGGAAAACGCTTTACCTCTTATTCAATACCTTGCATCTAATCCAAGTGAAACGTTCTCTTCTCCTAATGCAAGAGTAAACTGAGCTACCAGAAGAGAGCTTACACCAAGCTTAAAGTAATGCCTATGTACAAAACCATCATGCTTTAGAAATATAGCGGTAAGGCAGAGGCAACACAGGGAGAGGTAAGGTGCTTTAAGGGTTTGCTGAAAGGGGACATAGCATGGGGAGTGATTATTTCTCTGTGTTATTGAACCACAGATCTGATTTACTAAAATGTAGGCACCAACCACAGAACAAAAGGTAAGATAGGAGGCTCTGCTGCCAGGCCCTCGGGAGGGAGCCTCTGATGGTAGAGGGTGAGCCCCAACTTTCCCCAGGGCCAGAAAGCAGCCACCAAATTTCATGTGTCTCCAGCAGGAAGTCTATGGAAGACAGAGATGTGACAGTTCAGCTGTAGTTGACTCCAGATAAATAACGCATCCCCTTCAGCAAACATTTCCACAAAGGTAAATAAACTGCAACCAGGGTGCTGATCCATCACCAAAAGCATTTGATAGCTTACATTTCTGATTTCAGCTTAATTCCTGGTGGGTGAGTGTCTCCTTCTAAACTAGGAGACAACTTTCAGCAACCTGAAATTTCTCTCAACTGAAAATATTGGTGTTGCTCTCTCATCCTTCAGTCCCAGACCAGTATTATCTGCTGCTATTTCTTCTGAAGCATTCAGCGTGTAACTAAATATCATTCAAGGAAAAAGCCTTCGTAGAAAAATTAATACCATAGCACGACCCATACAAATTAAGATGCGACTTTTAGAAAGTTTAAATTATGTGTTAGTGCCATCAGTAACAACAACAACAACAAATTACAAAAACAAGCAAACAAAAAAAATATATTACAATGATTGAAGTGTGAGCTCGTATGATGCGCTTTGGTAACCCATCAATGCAGTGTTTCTACTATATTAAAAAAATCAAATTATTAAGTGTATTCTAATTCAGTCAGTCACTTCAAGGTACATGACTATCACAATTATTGAAAAAGGCCTTGATCCTGAAAACATTTATGTCTGTGAATTTTTAGACAAGTGAATAGTCTTTGTAGGACTGACCTCTTGCTTTACGTTGTTCACACATATGAACTTGCATGCACGATCAGAGACTAAGGCAGGAATACACATTTACAAGCTATCAGCATTTTACCTAAAATGTCTCTTAAAACAGATTCAAAGTCATTACCAGCTGTTTCTTATTTAAAGCTCAAGAAATAAATGCTTGTTAATATCAGTGTAACAGTAGAGGTAGTTTATCACGGAAGTGATGTGCCTGAAGTTTTCATCCATTCAGCCTTCAGTTTGGAAAAATAAAAAATAAAAAATAAAATTGACCTAAAAAGACCAACAAGATCATTTGTACTCATATCAGTCCTTTAGCATTAGAAACACTGCAGCTATGAGAAATTGCAGTGATAGCATGAATAAAACATCACAGATTTTATTGTGTAACATATTTTATAAGGCCAAAAGTTACATCTAATCAGCAACAGCAGCCTTGGATCTTTATGAATTCATGATTATTCTACATCTGTAAGAAGGAAAATATTGCATATGCTCAAAAATTCAAGAGTTACATATATGTGTATATATATTTCAATCCATATATATTTTTTCCAGCTGTACATATTTGAACAAATGGGCAGCATTCGAGTGATCACGCTCTGAAATAAGCAGTGCTTTTGTTTGTGCATTCCCAGATTAATGTGCACTCTGATAAACGCGTGAAATGTTATCATTAAGCCATGCAGCTCTCTGGACCCACCACAAATATATTACATCTATTTAGATGGAAATAACAGGGTACTGAATACAAACAGTCTGCTGCCTTCTATCTACTTATCACTCCTCTATTTCAATTCTTTTTCTTTGCCCTTGCCCCTGTGTCTTAGTAAGTGACACATTCCCCACTGGAGAGCACATTCATGACAAGTTCTAATACCCAAAAGAAAAACTTGTGTCCATTCTGCACAGAAACAGTACCTGGAAATCATACTTCCATGCAAAATCCTTTTTTCTGCCTTTCCCAATACACACACTTTCTTTTTTTGTATCACAGCAATTTTAAAATTGTCCTATGCAATTTAAACTAGATTTCCAAAAACAGTAACCTTTTGCAGGGATAAATCAGAGCATTTCCAGTTGACAAAGTAATTTACGAGGGACACACAAAGCACCTGAAAAGACAGACTGCAAAGAAAACCATTTTAACTATAGCAACAGCACTCACTGCATAATGTTATAAGGAAAATTATGCAGTTAGGTCTCTTATCAGACTTATGAAAATTCAGATTTCTGCCAGTTGGGGGGGGGGGGGGGGAGAAGAGAGAGGAAATCATTGTTCACCACATCTCCCTTGAGCACTACCTAGGGGAGGGGAGTGATGACCAGACAGTGAAAATTAAGAAGAACATGTCCCACCTTACGCCTATTCTGCCAATCTGTCACGGTTGTTCTTCTAGCTCCATAGGTTTACATCATTTTTTTTTTCCTATTTTTTTTTCTTTTTGCTGACAAGTAATACAAGACAGATTCTTGCCTTCTTAGGATCTTGCAATCTAGTTTAGACATAGCACGTCAAGTGGTGATGAAAGAAGGTTAGGGTGGGTTTGAAAAGATGAGGATTCCAACAGTAAACGATGCAGAGACATCAGTTTGGTAATGTACACATGTTTTGCATGATTCATTGGACCAAAATGGCCAAAGGAACTTAAAAAGCTGTCAAAGGCATCTTTACCTCTGACCTACCTAGTCATCCATCTGCTTCCTCATACTGTCAATCAAAACCCTCCCATCCTTATCACTATTCTATTACACACATTTTCCACAACCATTTCTCCTCCAGCTCTTAAAAAATATCTTAGCAAACATTTCAATCAGTCATTAAAAACCTTGTTAAAATATGCAATGTGTCATCAAATATGCATAGCATACTCGTGCAAAATCTGCAGAGCGTAGATCACTGTATTACATTTGCTATAGTATTAATGTAAAACGTGGTAGAAAGTATTACCGGTAAGAACTTGGAATTACTTGCTACACATCGGAGCTTGATTTTGTGTTATATCAAATAAAGCAAAGAAAGAGCAATGGAATAGATTATTTTACACAATCATTATATTAAAAGCCTGTTCAGCATGCCTAGAATAATTGTACAAATCATACTTCATGTAAAATTCATGCAGTTAGTTGTTGGTCTAACAAATTCATACAGGGGGTTTTGCTTTGACTAAACCAAGCGCATCACAAGGCTATCATCATTTCCATGCACCGGGTCAAAACGTGCACGTTCGATTCCAGGTGAATGCAGCATTTGAATGTGTCAGTAAACATGTGGTTATCAGACATATAGGTGCACCTCTGATAGTCCTCTAAAAAATTAAAATAGTAATAAAGTGACCTACCGATAGGAAATAGCCTTTTTTACTTCTGCAGCCCTTATCTCTTCCAGTGTCTCGCAGAAATAGTTACGGAATTACCCTGTCGAAATAGTTATGGAATAACATCAACCACACACACAGGAGAGGATTTTGTTCAGACCTGTCACACGTTACGTATTTATTCCAGACCTGCTGGGTAACCCCTGCAGAACAAGACCCAGCAAAACCACTTCTGACCAGGGCTACCAGCGGTGACCGCCCGCCGCTGCAGTGGGCTCCCCTTGGGAATGTCGTCGGGTCTCGGTCGGGTCCCTTGGCCGTCTCGGGGGGTAATGCATTGGGACGGGTAGCGGCGAAGGGTGGCGGGGGGGAAAGGAAACGTGAGGATGGTTTTGCTGGCCGAGAGCGGGAAGGAGGGCCGAGAACATTTAATTTCCTATAGCCTCACAGCCCGGGAGGGAGCCGGGCCAGACACTCGCCTCGCCACTGAGGGGGCAGCCGGGTCCGCGGGAGGCGGAGAGTTGTGGGCGAAGAGTGGGGCGACGCGGGCGGTGCCACGGCCCGGACCCGCCGCTCGGTGAGAGGCGGCTGGGAAGGGCGCGCACCATCACCACCCCGGCTGTCCTCACTTCTTGGGGGGGCCCTCTCCCCCTCGACGGCCTGGTCTGCCCCTCCCGGGGAATGCGGCCCCTCTCCCGGCAGACGGGTCCTGCCGCTTGAGGGCCGAGTTGCCCCCAGCCCCCATCGCCGCTTCGGGGACAGCACCGTGAGCCCGGCGGCAACCTCAGAGCAGTTACCGACCCGAAGGCCGCCGTCGCCGTCGCCACAGGCCCGCTGCAGCCGGCGGAGGCGCTGGGGCCGCAGGGACGCCTCTCAGGTCGAATCCCGCACCTTGTGGAGGAGACAGGGGGGATAATGCAGAGAAGCTCCTCAGGTGTCCCCTGTCAACACCGCGACAAGACAAAACCCCCGTGGCGGCTCTTCACCCGCGCTTACCCCACTGACGGATCAAGACTAAAACTGGCCTTTCTACCCCAAATATCTGCGCACCTCGAGCCATGCAGGTGCCAGAGGATGACGCCTCTACTAAAGCCTATGGGTACGTGTATTTTAAAGGGGGAGAGCGTCCCTCGAAGGTCGGCAGAGAAGGAGGTGGTGCCGCGGGAGCAGGGACTTCTCTGCCGCTCCTCTGCTCCGCGCCCCCAGAGGGCCCGGCCTGGCCCTTCGCTGCGCCCCCGTCCCGGGAGAGCTGCGGGCGGGCAGCGCTGCGCCCCTCTGCTTCGCTCCGCCAACTGGGCGGCTCCCCCGCAGCAGGGAACCTCTGCTGCCTGCAAAGTGCTGTCAGGGGGTTTAAGAGTCAAACACGGGGGTAATTACAAACATCTAAAACCCGAAGGGGTTTAAACTCCCGATGTCTCCGACTGCAAACCTCCATGCTTGGCCATGCGGTGCGTAAACTCTCCCCTATGTCCACTTTTCACCCACCCTGAAAAAAAAAAAAGACGAAGCTGGGCGAGGGGCAGCTAGGGCAGAACTAGCGTCGCCCAACTTGGGACGTGCAGAAAGGCAAAGTGCTCTCCGACACGGCGTGAACGTTTTGCCAGGTTTATTTTACTTGTTATACACAGACGATACAAACGGGCAAAAACCGAAACATTTCTCAATGGAGCATGTACTGGTATAAATTATTCAGTTCCACAGACGTAACAGAACAAATATAAAAATCACAACATTCGATTTACAGAAGAGTCAAAAATATACACACGTTTATGACCCTGAATTTCTATTAGGAAATTTCCCCGTCGAGTGTAATCTAAACTGAATATTTAGCCTGATGCATATTTCAGTTTGTAATTGTATTTTTTTTCCTCTATATAAAAATGCGTTAATTGTATAGATTTGCTACTCAAAATTCGAAGACTTACTATTCTGCTTCGCCGGGGGGAGAGACCTGGAGGGATTTTAGTTCTCCTTCATGAAATTAGTAACAGGTTTACAGGAAAGATCGCTCTTACTTTTGATGTGCATTTGATTCCCCAGGAAGTCAGATCTCGGTTAGCTACTTTATGAAAAAGTCAATTCCAAAACTAAATGCAGTAAAATATACAACTCACAATTCATCTTCACTGGACTACACTATGGTTACCAACAATTCAGTCGTCTATATCTTTTTTTTTCTTTTTTTTTCCTTTTTTTTCTTTTTTTTTTTTTTTAAGATTATTCATTACAAAGATTTACAGCAATATAAAGAAAGAGGGGAAAACTGCAAAGAAATTTGAAAAGAGTTTGTCAGCATATTTGGCACCTGCAGGGACCAGTAATGGATTTGGCACTTGGGGGCGGGGGGGAGGGGGAGGAGGAATACCACAAAAATAATAATATTGCTGATGTCGAGCTATTCCTTTTAAAGAAAAAATACAGAGGCAGTTAATTTTGCTTTTGGAAGGCGTCATGCTACTTTAATCGACTTTCCTACGAGACGTATTTCTGTTCTTTTGAAGGGAAAGCTGAGCTATTCTTTAGCTGTGTTAGCCCAGGGCACGGCGTAATTATTTCATGCGAGGAATTGCAGAGAAAGTGAGAAACCCATTACTCGCTTGCCGCAGCCACGGGCCACTCTTCCAGAGGCATTTAGAAGGGGTGTTACGGGGGGGGGGGGGGGGAAGGTTGTTGCGAGGAGGCGACAAGGAGCAAAGGTGGGAGGGAGAAATTTAAACAGGATCTAAGTTTTGTGACTTAACGATGAAAACAAAAAGAAAATCCAAACAAATAAGAAAGCAACAGAACCAAAGAAAAGTAGTCGGTTACAATAAATTAAGTACTATGTACAGGCATTTCACAGGCTCTTTTCCCCCACTATTACTGTTATCCCCTAGTATCCATCCGTGGTAAAAGGAAGGAAGCGCTGTAAGGTTTGAGAGTCTAAGCATCCTACTTATCAGTGGGTTTCGGAGCAGCGGTGCCCCCCGCGCCCCCGGGCCGGGCGGGGAGCGGGGCGGGGGGACGGCGGCAGCCGCGGCTCTGCCTCCCTGCCTGCCTGCGGGCCGGGCCGGGGATACGGATGGGCAGCTAGGGGCGGGGGTCAGTGCGCTAACGCGGAGGAGTTAATTGTGCAAAAGGACGGCGGGGCCGGGCGGCCGCGCCTAGCTGTGCGAGTAGAAGCCGTAGTAGCCGATGTCCTTGGCGCAGGTCTTTTCGCAGTCCCGCTGGGTGAGCACCTCGCTCTTGAGGGGCGAGGAGCTCTCGGACACCGGGGTGTCCGAGGGGGAGATCCGTCTCCTTTTGGCCTGCTCGTAAATCCCAGAATCGGTGGAGTCGATGGACTTAATGGACGACGGCGTCTCGATCCAGCTGGAGTCGGACAAATCTTTGGGCTTGGAGTCCTCTGTGCCCGGCAAGGGGGACCGCTCTGGGGCCAGGCTCTCCGCCTCCTCCCCCAGGTAGGGGTTCCCGGCGGCCATGCGCGCCGCCGCCGCGCTGTTAGGCCAGCAGGAGAGCACGGAGCCGGACTTGCTGCAGTACTGCGGGGGGCTGCGGGCCCCCCAGCCCGAGGGGTCGGCGTAGTAGCCCAGCGGTCGCCCGGCGCAGCCGGCAGCCTGCAGCGGCAGCGCCTTGACGCCAGCGGCCGCGTAGGAAAGCAGCGTGGCCGCGTTGCCGGCGAAGTCGGTGGCCGTGTCATAGGCGGAGGCGGCGAAGTCGAGGCGGTTGTTAGCGGGCGCGACGAACCAGCGCTGCGGCGAAGGGGCCCCCGGGTCCTCGGCTTGCTGTGGGGAGAGCAGCCCGTTGGTGTGGGGCACGCTGCGGTCGGCGCCGGGCCCCGGGCCGGCTCCTGCCCCGGGGTGGAAGCGGGACTTGGCGTAGTTACTCACGAACTGGTCCTGGAGGAAGGAGCCGGCCATGGCGTAGCGGGCCCCGGGCACAATTTGAGAGCGGGGAGAGTCGTTGGGGGAAGGTGTCAGCCGATCCATGTCGCAGCCCGTGTAGATCCTGCCCAAGAGAAGGGGAGAGAGCTGGGTGTCCGCCGCAGCCCGCCGCCCTCCTCGGGGCGGCAGCCGGACTGCTGCAGCCCTCTGGGAGAGACGGGAAGGGACCGAACGGGCCGGCGGCCGCCCCAGCGCGCTCCTGTGCTGCCCGCGGCCTGCGCTCAGCTCCGGCCTCGGCCTGCGGCGCTGGGAGCGCCGAGGGCCTTATTAGGGAAGGGGCAGGGAAGGCACGGCTAGCGCACTTTCTGGGACCGATTGGCCATTCATTGACGGGAGAGAGATCTCTTGCTCCTGCCCGAAACCGGCATGAGACCGGCGTGAAAACCCGAGCCGTGACACATTGACCGCTCCCGCCATATGCGCACCAGGCAACGCGGTCATTTGCGGCGAGTAGCATGAATGGCAGACTACGGAATTCTATCGGCTGTTTATCACTTATTATTGGGAGTCACAGACGAACCATCAACATTATACCGAGTTTAAATTAAGCTAATCTTTAAACACCTACTTGAAGGAAATGTAAAGTCAGACACATCCAGTGTTCCCTGCGTGGCCTATATATAATTCTCCCATGCTGGGCTGCAATTTGCGATTATAAAAACTTTAATGGATGAATAACTACTATCTGTATTTAATTCAGGCTAAAACTGTGCTTTAATTAACCCTCCACGCCTCCTGGAATTTCTTATCCAAAATAAACTTGGCCCTTAAACAAATTCAACGTGCTAGACAACATTGAAGCTTCCCCCTCCCCCCCGTCTCCTTTCAAGTGACTCCCTATAAAGGTTTTTTCCTTATAAAAAAGAGAAAAGCAATGGCAGCTGGGGGCGAAGGGCACGCAGCCTTCCTAAAGGCCGAGCATCTTCCCTGCAGAGCTTCCAGGAGAGCGGCCAGGCCCTGCGGCCGCCCTCCATGACACGAGAAGGGACCGAAGCTCCCCTCCCGCCACCGCCCGGGACCCCGACACAGTCGCCGCGACCCCCGCCCGTAGGGGAGAGTCTGTGGTCGGCTCCGGGCCCCCCTCACACTCGTTCAGGCCTCGGCATCGTTTCTGCCCTAGGACTGAAATCCCGCTGCTGGGGGATGCTGGGCCGCCGTCGGAGGTCAGGGGGCTTTAAGCAGGCAAGGAAGTTAACGCTCAGTTAGGCACTCCGAGAAAAGACGCTC